TCACAGTGAATTCCAAACACCCAGCCCCGTCTCCAGCTAAAGTTTTACTTCTGCTGACATACATGATCCTTTGGAGAACACACAAACAAATCTCCCATGTCCCAAGGAGTATTTGCCGATTGGCAAATAACGTTTTGTTGACTTAGGGTGATAGAGTGAATGGCAGACTCTGAAATCCTGAACATTATTATTGTTATAATAGGGTTTTTCCCCATTTTTTCTGGCAACAAAACTGAAACCTTTTTATAAGGATTCATGTCTGCATTAACCACAATACCTGCAGTCAAAATGCAAGCAAAAAACATACTATGATAATATATGCATTGTCCTTGAAACTGATTGGTCCACACCAAGGGTCGGCTTTCTTTTGAGCCTCGACCCAATTGGTGCTCGACCACATGACGCCAGAAGGCGTACACCAAAAAGGGGGAAAACCCTATTATTATATTTTGGTACTGGCAAAAGAGGTCTAATGATGTAGATTATTATTGTTTTTGTTTTGCTGTTGCGCGAGTGACTGCACGCACTGCTAGTTGGTAGACAAGACAGATCAATAGCCAGACTCACCGAGCACCAGCTGACTGAACAGAGAAGTAATTCAATTTCCAGACGCGCGTGTGTGTATCACTCCAACACGATGTAAGTGGATCAAAGTAAAGTACCCATGAGGATGTCATCTACACGGTGTGGAGAAAGGGCAGAGCCAGAGCGATGAAAGCCTGCACAAGACACGAACTATTTCTGATACTGATATTGTGTTGTTGTGGTCGTGGCTGCGTGTGAATGGTCAGGCATTACGTAACTGTGTTCTTACACTTCCGTGCACATGTTTAGCAATGATGGAAAAAGCAATGGAGGTGCCGATTCCTTTTGCGGTGGTCGTGCATTCATTGATTGATTTAAAAAAATGGGGGCTTAATCCTTTCTGACACAAACGCAGGAGGTGTTAAGATATTGAAGCACTAAAGAGACACCAATTACGAGGCATCAAGTCCGCATTAACCACGCATACTTTGTGGTGAAAAATGCAAACAATTATGCTTTGATGTAATATACGCACTGTCCTTGAAACCGATTGGCCTACACCAGGGACAGCCTTGTATGGCTTTGTCTCACCAGTGCCAGACCAAAGGCCACCAAAATGCAAACAGTACAAGGACAATGAAAACACCGACGCATTACTAGCTCTGGGTTAAGCATTAACAAACATCTTAACGCCTGCATGTATGCCAAAAAGGGCAAAGGTACTTTTTATCATTTCATATCCTGATACTGCCAAAAAGGGTCCCGTAAAGGTAGCCATGCATCAGATTTGTCTTTCAAGTAAGCCCACCTCTTTGCTCATGAAACAGACTGAACAAAATCCATACCTCAGCATTATCGACGTATCGAGATCCATAGCACAATTGGACAGGCGTCAGTGCCAAATGTTGAATTGTGCTTTGATGCTTTGATGTCACCCGCCAGTCACTTGCCCATCGGCATTCAGCACCTCCGTATCGCTCTCCTAAGGCTACCACCGTGAACGTCACTCGTTTAATTCCTCTTCCTCCTGCGAGTCTGCCAGACTGCTCATCTCACCTCATCCGCACTGTCGTCAACCCCCACAACGCAGCGCTTCTCTCTCTGCGTCTTCCCTCGCTATTGCGCGACGTGAAGATTCCCTCCCATCCCGTCTCTCTTCCCGAACTCCCGTAACCTTGCCCAATTCGAGGGACGTGTTGGCCGTTCATCCAATGCATCTTTGCGGGTGCTGTTGGTTGCTGGCCACTTGACGTTTTGGGACTGTGTTAAAGATAAAAATAATCTCAGTGCTTCTCCTATTTCTTGAGCGAAAGCAAAACAACGGAGGGCGCTTTCCCATCTCAACCGGTCCCAGTGCTTCTCTCGTGTTGTTTGGGAAGTCTATCACCTCTTGTAGGCAAGATCTTCATCATGCATGTTTGATTGATACTTGAATGAATATGCACATATAAACAAACACCTTATCTTGCTGCATCATGTTAAAATATTCTGAACATAAGTGACGCACAGATTGATAGCTCAAGCTCCATATAGAGGTTGGGCCTTATTGTCAGATTCACCTATGCCAACCAATGCATCAGTATGGTTAATCAAGCAGTTATCCTCATAGTCTCACCAACGATAACATAACTATCTCCCGACCCTATGCTGTTTTCTCTATAATCTATTCTGCGTGAACACAGTGTACACACATGGGTCTTTCATAATGAAATAAGTGATAACTCAGCAATACGATATTTTGAAAGTTAAATGGCCACATCTGGTAAACAGTCTCCTGTGCTAATTTGCATATCACCAAAGCAAAGTGTTATAATAAACGGATAATGTTGCCATTGCGATGAAAGAACCTTGCATGGATGTGTTGGATTACGTGCATGTGTGCCTGTGTTTATGTCTGCATATGCACGCGGGTCTGGCAGTTCAACCTGCTCGTTGCAAATTCATGGTATTCATACGCGGCCTTGGCATTTTCTCTTCAACTCTTACTTGTCTGGCTATGCCAGCCAGATCCGTGCAGCTTGAGCGCCTGCCTAATTATCTCATTAACATATTAAAGTAAATAAACGGTTAATAAATGTCTACAAAGGAACACACATTTGGCACAAGACCGCACCCATGTAAAGTACAGTCGGCCTTGATACAACAAAATCATTCTCCTAAACTTTCACGGCCTTGAATTTAGCGGCTCGATTCGGCTCCTGTGATGAAAAAAAAATTATTCAACACAAAGTCAGGCATATGGATAGAGAATTGTGCAGAGAGCAGAAATGAGCTGCCTTATGCAGACTGAAGCTGGGACAAAAAAAATGCTAGACGCCTCTGTGTGGGGAAATACACGAGGAAGGATGTTTAAATCATCACGGCAAACTACTGGCTGATCTTTGTAAACCTCCGAAAAGCCCCTTCACGGTTTTAAAACCAAAAGCCGGAAAGGGGGGTAGGGCAACATACATTACGTATGTCATCATATTGGATGTACATAATTAAGATACATTTTATATATGGTTATAGGAGTGGATCGAAAGTAAAAAAAGGATATCTGGGAGATATTGATCTAGATTTAAAGCTTTCGTGACTGCTAGGATCCATACTCTTGGTTCTATTGGGTAAAGTCACATAGGTGAAAATAAAATAACAAAAAATCACGACGTTTCGGCCACAACACAAGCGGCCTTCAGACAGTCTCGTCCCTTCACCTGATGAAGGCCGCTTGTGTTGTGGCCGAAACGTCGTGATTTTTTGTTATTTTATTTTAACCTACGTGGCTTTACCCAATAGAACCAAGAGTATAGATATTGATCTGTGTGTGTGGCCATGTGTCCCCAGAGCATGTGACAGAGCAGACTTAAAACAATACAAAATTACGATGCTTATTTCGAATGCGTGAGATGCCGAAGACACTTTTCTGCATTAAAAAAAAACCCGAATTGAGCCCGGTGGGGAACACATTTTTTCAAGAATACGTTTGCACTTAACTTCTGCACAGAAAGTGACAACGCTGACGACACAGTTTGCAAAAATTGGTTATCAAGTGCCATTGTCATATTTCTATATTTTGTAGTAATTTCTCCAATTTAACTTAAATTGTGCTTTCGGCTTCGTGCAACAGGGCACAGTGGCCATATGGAACTCTCGCAGGGCATTTTTATACGCGTGTGTTGGAGAATCGCTCGTAAGAAAAGACACCACAGTACTACTTCCGAGACCTCTTCAGGTGACCTATTTTATCCGCCCCTCTACAGGAACACTACCCCACATATTCTGTTACATACATTATTCGTGTGGCAGTTCCACTGATAATTCTTAATTGTCTGAGTTAGCATTTTGCTAATTAAGTACAAAACTTATACAACAAAAATTATACCTGCAGCTATTGGTGGAGCAGGGTGAACCAATGAACTCACTCGACTTGAGAACCTGGTTTAATTATCGGTGGCTACTCTGATTGCACACCAGGATGTCAGTTTTTGGACGCCTGAGCTACCCAGCCACCCCAACTTGGGTCATAGTTTACATGGCCGTTCCTTTAAACATTAAGCTACTAGTGCAAGCAACGTGGGAATAAAAACTGCCAATCGCACGTCGTCTGCGCGGCCACAGTCGTGCACGCAGGACATGCGACCGTCAGCAGCGTCACCTTGGGACACAAACGGCAACTGCCACGATGTCATTTCAGTGTCAAACACGAGATTCACTTCACCCATGTAAATGAGCAGAGGTGGTCTCCGGTTTACGATGGACCACATTTAAGACGTTTATATAACGCCACCATGGATCTATTTACGACGCAGAAACTTGATTTACGGCGCATCTTCCGGCACGACTCCGAACGCATTTGAACAGAGTCGGTCCGGTTTCCGACGTGACTCGGCTTGGATCATTTGTTTGCATTATCTTACCGATTGAACCCTGTTAAATATGGCTTATAAAAGAAATAAAAAAAAAACACATCGGCAAGTGATGTTTCTACTGTTTTTTACTATGGGAAAATAGGGGTCTGCTTTATGACGATGCGATTTACGACGGGGTTTCATACCCGTCAACCCATACGGTTTACCCGAATTCTTGTACGGGGAAATTGCATTTTCAGATCCATACGGCGCAACAGCCGTTTCAATTCGGGCGACATTTTTTTTTGGTCTATTTGTGTTGTGTTTCTCCCTTGTGATGGGACTTTGTAGGATGAATGTTGAGATTTATAAGGGCACTGGGTAACCAATACAGTCTGAATTGGTCTGTAATAAGGTAAGGGCACCGATAAGGGGTTCACAGAAATGGCGTTTCCACAAAATAATTGCGTTATAAAAGCGGGGACCACTTGTATTTAGATCTGAACCGACTGGGAGACAGCGGACATCCACTGGTTCATCAGTGGAATTGAAACCATTCTTTTCACCCTTACTACATCATCATAGTTTTGGTCATTACACAGAATATTGGGGCAATGTACCAACCAACTTTGTGGACACATATTGCTTGTATTTGTTTATTCTACCTTGTTAAGGCCTAAAGGCTTCGGAGATAAACAATGAAAAGGAAACGAAAACAAAACGTACGCACTCATATCACACATTTTAAATGCCTGAGAACTGCATTTCTACCATCACTATTGCCATTTGCCGTTTAGGCAGTCTTTGCTTTATGGGCTTGCCACATGCCGGGATGTACAGTCTCATCCAGCTTGCTTCATACTCAGGCAATGCATCTCTGCAATAAAATGTCAACCTGCTCCTTGTTCTTGAGCACCCGGGGAGTCTTGTACTGGTTAGGACTGGCTCCAGATTTCTCCAGGGCATATTTCTTGAGATCCTGGAATGCCCCTTGGTGGATCAGGTTTACCCGGGCTGGCCCGATGCTGCCTTTGTTGCGAAATGACTTGTACACCGCCGACTCTTCCTGCAGAAACTGATCGAGCTGGGGACACATGCACAAACAATAGTTAATTCTTATTGTTGGTTGAGAAGCAAGTCGTATAGTTTGCTGTTTGTTACAGAAAGTAAAGGCTCAGCCATGCAATTCCTTGCTCATGCCACGGCTGGCGAAAGGTCCTCTATCAGACGACGCTCTAGAAAGCCCCTTCTCGTGGACATTTTGGCCCACTCTCTCACGCTGGCCAGACATCTAGAAAGAAGTGACAGTGCCCACACCGCTGCTGCTGATTCACTAACTGTGGTGTACCCATTTTCACTGCTGGGTGCAGAGAGGGAGGGAGATTTAATTGTTTCCACTGCCACGCCAGGAGATCGAACCGGCGACCCCTGGATTACAAGTCCAGTGCGTGTTAACCAGTAATCACAGCAGCGTCTCTGTACGGTATGGCACTAGTTCTGGCCATATTATTGTGGCCGACGTAATCATACACTCGCAATTCAAATCTCATCCACAGTTGACCAAGATATATATAAAAAAAACATCTTTACAATCTTACCTAACTTGATGCTGTTTTGTACGTGGTACTTTGTGTATGTGATGTGTTCTACCAGCCTTGTTGTATTATTTGTGCTGGTTTGTTTCATGTTGACGCACGACCTTGTCATTCAGACCCTGACCACGTACAGTTGTTTTTGGATTATTTTGTTTGTGTTTTTTTTCTTCTGTAACCAAGTTCCTATTCTGTAACCAGGTCCCCATCTAAAATGAGCAGTTCATTCCCAATGGGTTTTACCTGTGGCAAAATAAACCAAACCAAACATCCCTCCAGGGTTGGTAAAATTAATACTACCCAGTGAGGCCGCACAATTTGGCCAAAAGTTAACAGTAGTTTTCCTTCTCTGAGGACAGACTGGTTCCTGCCACAGTAACATGGAATTATCACTACCCCCTTAGAACGTTCAAGATATATAAAAAAATCAAGATCAAGACAGCATCATGGCCAAAGCCGTTGATGTCACCATCCCTTGTTAACGTTTAACACAACCAAATGCACATTTCAAAGTGCACTCTGTTCAATTCCTGAATAAAGCAGTTAATACTGAAGCAAGTTCTGTATCCCCTCAGCAATATAAAATACATTTCTTCAGGTAGCAAAAAATTACAGGTACCCACACGTAACATGTTCATCAAGTTTCTGTTGATAGGAGGCGGCTGTATGAGCAATGTCTCAAGAGGTTGTACCTTAACCATGAGATCAAGTCAAATCAGTATTTGAAATGTATACATAAATCTCACCTTGATGATAGAAAAAGTTACAACTGAAACAAATCACAGTGTTTTAAACATACAACCAAGCTCTCGTAAGTGCACATCTTAAAAACATATAAACAGGGAAACCTTGTTTCTCTTTTCATCAGATAAATACTGGGTTCCTTTGACTTCCACGAACACCTCATAGTGTGGGTCAGAAGTTCCTGCTGAGTTTCCTAAAATAAGAAAACAAACATTGAATACAAATGCTTTTAGGCTCAGAGAAAGGAATACACATAGTCGTCATCATCATCAGCAGCAACAACTGCAAATGTATAATCATCATCATCATCATCATATCAATGCACACATATATATTAGCAGTGCAAGAAACAATTACACAAAGATCCACTGAGCAATGTTGTACTGTACAAAATAATCGCTCTTCAATACATGTCTATTAAGGGAATGTGAAAGCTCAAAAGTGCTGTTATGCTTGCCGGCATAGTACAAGTATAGAATGCATGACATTCATTTCCTTAAAATTGTGTGCTTTATATATATTTTTTCCAATTGCATCCCAATTGTGCTATCGGCATTATGTCATGAGACACAGAATGAATTTGGATCTTTTTCACCACAGTGCAACCCTTGATTCTTAGCGAATGACCCGCCAAAGCGGATATCACATGACACTTCTAAGACTCCTTCAAGTGACGTCCATTCAATACAATAGGGGCAACACTTCCTCACCCACTCTACATCAGCGCGGTGTTTGTCGAGTGGCATTAGAATTTAGCCAAATCAAGCTGTGACCAGCGGCTCTCAATGCAGGATAACTCAGTTTAATCACTGCATGGAATCGCAGCCAGGATTTCTGCAGTTCTAAATTAGTACTCGGAACTCTGTACCACATACCTCAGAGGTAGCTTAAATAATTCCTGCTGGTGAGATATGAGTCTGGAAGGCTGATAGCTAAAAATAAACTGTATATTATGCTTACATTGTGGCATAGAATATAAGGTGACTTATTTAAATCAATACTAAAGGGTGTGTGTGTACTGTAATTGTCCATCTCAGTTACGATGTAAACTTTGAAATTTTTAATACAGAAAAGTGAAAAAATTCCCGAAAACATTTAATTGTCGAATGATAATATGGTCTTATTTCCATCGAGGGTCCTACTTGGTATCTGGCCAATTCCTGTTTCAGAATTATTATTACAGTAAAACCTTGGATTGCGAGCATAATTCGTTCCGGAAATGTGTTTGTAATCCAAAGCACTCGTATATCAAAGCACTCGTATATTAGTTGTGATCACGTGACGCTCGGCAGACAAAGCGTACTCGTATTGCAAGACCTCGCTCCTTTAACAAATTAATATTTACTTAAAATTTTTGCTCGTCTTGCAAAACACACGCAGACCAAGTTACTCGCAATCCAAGCTTTTACTGTATCTTGGAGAAAACCAGAGCATTGAAAAGAAAAAAAAGAACCAAGACCTATAGGGAAACAAGTCAAAATCAATTGAGGCTGACTTGTAAAAGACACGATAATGATGGACATCATCCATACGTAGTCAATTATTGCCTTGCGGTGACGTGGCTAATGGTGGATCCGGGAGAGCTCAGGGCTCCTTGCGGCGGCAAGCGTCCGAGGCAAGCGCCGCTAAAGCGAGGTGGACAGCTTGCTCAGCGGTGAGAGCGTGGAATCGGCACTGCTGAGATCTTGGCTCGACTTTGAGCAGCCACCCAAAATTACAACCGGGATTTCACAATAAGTTGACTGCACAAACAACCAATCGAATTAAATTTGATTTTCAATAAATTTGGCTAAACTGTAGCTCTGAATATATAGATATGAAAAAAAACACTCCATGGCTGCTACGTGACAAACATTTCATTCTCCAGCAGGGTACGTGTGAGAGTAGGCCTCCTTGTCAAAAATAGTTCCGTGATATCACCTTCCACAGGCCATTCTCGAACACAGGTTGATGCACTGCCCCATAGAGTTACGCATGGACAATCAGCCTCATGATGTGGCAGCGAAAGCACAACTTGGAGGACAAGTGCAGTTGAAAAGACAAAAGGAGATGGCAAAGAAAGATAACACAACTAACAGGCGTTAAGGAGAGTGGGTCTGTGTTGCCTCCACGTACCAAGAAGGCCACTCTCCGCACAGCAGTAGTCGAGCAGCTCGGAGCCAGCCCAGATGCGAGCGGTGCGCTTCATGACCCTGTCGAACAAACCCTCAGACGTCTTCTCTCCTCGCACGTTCAGCATCATGCCCTGCCTGTCAAGCGAGATGGCGGCGGGGGGGGGGGGGGGGCTGCTCATGAACACTGTAATCCGGCAACGGAACAACGTGGAAATGTTGAATGGATTATTTTGGGCGCCCGAAAAAAAAATTACAGCCCGGAGGTTGATTGGTTTCACTCATAGGGCAGGGTGAACTTTGAAGTTCTAAATTGCTTTAACATCTCTTTCTGACAAATACAAACCCGCACAGCCCCCATCATTAATGAACCAAGTAATTGGCCTTCCGTGGAGTTTGATGCTCAAGCAGATAGAATAAATCAGGCAAAAGCTCACGGCCATGTTCTCATACTTTATATACACAAAAGGCTCACTAAATTTCAATAGAGCTTTATTGATTTAATGCTAAACCGTACAGGCTTCATTGCTGGAGAGAATGTTTTCTTGTCCAATGACGCTGCAATAAAACATCCCAATACACGCAATCAATAACCATACCAAAAAGTGAGTTAAAAACTTGACATCCCTGGCAATAACTTGATATTTACCTTCACTGTATTGTTTTGCACTCGATTGAGTCTCATGGACTATTGGGTTTTCGAAATACAAACGGAAAATTGGATGAGTTTGCCCAATAACTTCCAATGTGCCTTGGTAACTTAGCATATGTGCAGTACATAAATGTACCTGGGAACTGTAATAAGCTTCAACACGGTGCATTATGTCTCGGGCCGTCTAAACAACTTACCGCAAACACAAAACTCTCAGTCATCCACACTTTAATTAAATAGCAGAATGTGCAACCGTGCGTGCAACGGTTAACGCGATAAGTGCACACACAGGCAACGCACGATGGAAATTACAGCACCCCTTCCTGCACAAGTAGAATGTTGTGGTCAGGAGCACAAAGCAAACACGCCAGTTAATGGGACAAGAGCAAGCAAATTAAATATTTACGCCGTCCGTGTCGGCTGCAAGCTATTTTAAACCCCGGGAGTTTCATATAATAGAACGATTGCTTTCAGCAAAAAAGGACGGCATTTGACCCAGATTCTGCACTGCGCAGAATGCTTTCCCCATTTTTCACGCGCGTCTCCAACTTAACGCACAGACGCATGACGCGCTTTGACACCGCCTCGCCGCTATTTGTTGTGCGGGGATTTTCGAGTGAAAATTATGACGCCCACCTGTACATAAATTCCACGATGGGACACCGATTGTGGAATCCAACCACTTGAATCACGTCGCCAAAGCGATATCTGGGAAAGTAGAAAAGAGAAAATCGGTTTCAGGCATCCGCTGGGAGAGACAAACGACACGGATGAGTATTGCTTACTTTCCCTGAGGATAACAAATTATTATGATTGCCTGACAGACATGGACGGAGAAAAGAGCAGCAGAGACTTCATACGTGCGTTCATGCGTGCGTGTGGTGCAGTGGTTAGCGCGAGCTGTGCTTCGAACCCGGTGACCCGAGTTCGATTCCCACTCACAACCGATGACGGTCGCGAATATTTGAAGCAGATCAGGGCTTCCCCGAGATCGATTCAGCCTTAAATGAGTACCTGGTGTGTGGAGACAAAGGTGGCCAGGCGTGTGCCGGCAAAATGGTCCAATTTTGAGAATTTACCCACAAATTGCTCAATTTGGATTACACGCAGCAGCAATCATCGAAACTGACTCGGAGACTAACGCCGACTTCCAATTCACCTTGTGCCGCACTGGGACAGCTGCCATCTGGGGGCCAGTCCCCCTAGGCTACAAACAAGAAATTGCGCTGAAAAGACATTTAGTTACGTTATGGGCGCAATATAAAAGCGAGTGTTATTGTGATTTTATTCATCATTAACATGTAACCGGAATGGAATGTTAGTGGCTTTATTTGTTGGTTTATGAACATTTTTTCCCACCAGATGGGCAAGTGTCATAGGCTCATTCAGTGTCCCAGAAGGCATTGGTCTGCTGGTGGACCATTATGTGTTGCCGTGACGTGTCAGTTACCAATAAATGCACGTGCATGCATCACCTGAGACTGTAACAACAGAGGCACCAGGGTTTGTAACACCTCTAGACTAACTACAAGCCACTACTATTATCGCAATGTATCTTTACAATGGCCTGTCTTACACACATCACGGTGATAACACGCGCCGCAGAAAACGTGACATATCTTAGCAGACCTCAATTCTGTTTCCCCCAATGCAAAAACGTTATTGGCTTTCCAGGCCAATTTTAACCGGCAGCCTTTGTATAAGCAAAGCAAACTGCGGACCGGTTTTGATATTCTGGGTCTCGTCAGCAGCCAGACCAGTTAAATAAATGCTGCCTGGTTGCCACATGTTACTGGCAAGGCCGCTCCATATAAACGATGGGGCTTTGTTGAAAGCAAAAAAGCAACATTGTACACACACTCATTATGCATTGTTGTGGAGCATTGCAGGAAAGAGCATATACAGACATGCCTCTACGTATAAATAATTGCCATTGATTAAACAAATGCTGCTGGGTGATATTGGTTTGGAAAGCCAATAGGCTGATGACTAAAACATATTTTACTCGCATGTTAAGATGCTTATATACGTTATTACCCAGGAATCTTCTAGAACGATCCATAATGAGCTTATACAGAAAGAGGCATTATACGACTGTCCTTTGTCATCGGGGACAGACGATCCCTGATTTTTTATCTTCCACGAAGTTCATGGTCCACCCCAAACCGCATCCGCACAAACCCTCGCAGATGCAGATACCTGATGCACAAATGGGAAATTAAAAGCTCTCCAGTAGCGAACGACTGTGGTCACCCAAAACAGACCGTAGAACGTATAACGACAAATAAGATGGAGACATCACAGCGATACAACTCCGCTGCTCCTGACGCGGTTATCACAGCTTGACCACCTGCTTGCGAAATTGTAGTCGTTGCTCCGCATCTACGTCAGAGCCGTACGAAAGAAGAAGAATAAGAAGAAGGGCCAGCACTGACCGGTAGAGCCCTGAGCCATTCGTGAGTACCAGCTCATAGACCTGTCCCTCCTGCACCTCCTCCATGAGCAGCGTGCCCGGCTGCTCTTGCTCGGCGTGCTGCACGGGGATGAACTCGCACACCATGGCGCGGGGACACAGCAGGTAACGCCTTTCCCGACGCTCCGGCCACAGGTTCACCCCGATCAGACCTGCGGTGACCGAGGGTAACGGTGAGATCGCACGACAACAAACAGAGAAAATAAAAGGGCATTGAGGTGGAGCTCATCTACTATTTAAAACCTTGAGGGCGGAGATGGAAGTTCTCCATTTCCATGGCAGGGGGCAAGTCTCTCCATAGGACAACCACTGTTGCCTCACACACAAAGTGGGAAGAGTTTTATCGAGCACGGAGGGATGTTGGGGTGAGTCGGCCCCACCCCCCCCTCTAGCCAGGATTCAAACTCGCGGAGTTCTGATTGCGAGCCGCCCGCTCTTCCGCTTAGCCACCTGGCCCGGTTTGTGTAATCTTAATGATGAATATAATCGCATCGGCTTCTCGTGAGCCTGCGTTTAACTCTCTCATGCATGAATCATAATGCGGCGAACGCTCAAATTCCACCGGTCGCCACCATCACGGTTAAGCTCTGCTATGCCCAGTGTCGCTGGTCACAATGTCCTCCACTGGGTTGCAACACTGAATATACGATGACCTAAACAGAGGACTGCACGTGCCGAAGGTTCCGAGGCGTGTTGCGCACTGTGGCTGTAATGTCAATAAACAGTAGCGGTCCACCGGAGTGGACGCGGTGCATGAGCACGTCAAGAGCGAAACATGCATTATTGAGAATACATAATTTTTATTGAGTAAAAAAACAAAACAGCAATACATTAAAGACGGGTGAAATTTAAAACAGTGGCACTGTAGCCAATGAGGTGGGTCATTGAAAATGTCGTGTCATCTGAGGCAGGGAATTGAACCCACGTCCTGCGCTGCATGAAATTCGGCCTCTTGAACTTTTATCCTTGATCTATTTCACGTATTTATTTTGAGTGATTTGCTTACCTTTTCTGAGCATTGCACCCCTATCGCGTTTTTGTATTGTATGTTGTAACTTTCTGAGCCGGCCCTACTGGACATCTGTGAAAAAAAGCTGCATAGCTCATCGGATTTTTCCAGGAAAAATAACACATTCTGATTCTAAAGGCTCGTCCAGTGGCCCTTGAACCCCCATGACCCTTCACGCCCACTCCACCCCTGCTAAGAGGTTAAGTTCATCTCATCCCTCCCCCTCCCACTGCCAAAGCTCCATGGTTACGTTGGGACAGACCTTCAATAGTCTCACTAGCTGCCACCCCTCCCGCACGAACAACACGGAGTTGCTGTGACGCTCACCCTCCGTGGCTCCGTACAGAGGTGAGTAGAGAGGCACTCCCCGGCAGTAGTGGTTCTCCAGGGCCCGACCGTATGGCTCGTTGGAGCCGGAGTCTACGGCCAGCACCAGGTTGAGGCGCGGCCAGATCCTGCGGGCGATGCCATCGAATCCGCCGGCAAACGCCCGACGCAGCTCCTCGGCACGCGCCGGATCCGGCCTGAGTAGGGCGTTCAGCGAGGAGCGTACGTCGTCCGGAAGGTCGATGTTGGGGCTCACCTGTTGGAAAAGTGCAGCAGAGTGGTGTGGTGGTGCGGTGTGGGGGGTCGAGGGTCAGAGGTGGGTGATGCTCACAGGTCACACCGAGGGTCGGTGTCTGCGGCATGGTGCCTGACGTGGCAGCTTCGAGGAGGAACTCCCAGCGAGCGCCCAGCCAAATGTCAGGCCTCATGGCACGAACCGGGAACACATCAGAGCTCAGGAACGCAAACGCGCAAAACCAACGGTAACGGGCGCCCCGGTGGCGAGATGTTATCTGCCTCACCTGGTATACAGGAGGTCGTCGGTTCGTCCCAACCCTGACGTCCTGCATATGTGGAGTTTGTGTGTCTCTCTCTCCCTGCGGTCGCGTGGATTTTTCCCCGGGTCCTCCGGCGTTTCCCACCACATCTAGAATCAACGTGCGCTTACAGAGTATTTGGCTGTTGATGATAAGCCACTTCTCATTTGGGCTATCATCTGTGATAGCCAGGTGGCTTCTGCAAAATAGCCATATAACTCAGTGGGGCCTTACCTGATTAAAAAAAATACGTATATAAAATAAAAGATAAAATCCCTTACCCGGCCCAGCTCGATGTCTTCAGCCAACGAGCGCTGCCACCGCATCTCCAGCGTGGAGAAGGCGTGGTAGACGAGCGATGCGAAGTTTGCCTCCAACGAGCCCAGGCGGCGGTCGCGCAGCGCGAACAGCAGGTGCACGTAGAGGGCCTCCTGCTCACTCGCGATGGCGAAGGCGCACCCCGGGGTGGAGTAGATGCTCAGGAGTCCCTTGCTGCTGTCGGGTGACGAGGAGTTGGGTCCCACGGGTATGCCGGCCTCCGACGAACGCCAGCGCGGCATGTAAAATAACTTTGCCACCTTCTGGAGGTTCCTGGCTTCGGGGTACGTGTCGAACATGACGCACAGGATGACGGCCACTCCCTGCGATAATAAAAACAAACAACAACAACGACGACGATAGTGACAACAATGTAGTCACATGACAGAAGCCTCAAACGTAATGCTTATTTATTTTCTCATAATTTAACCCAATCAGATGCCTCTGATCTCTGCATCTGATTGGGTTAAATGATGAGCTCACCCTGCTCCTCTATTGAAGACGGGAGCAGGTGGAGGGCTTCACTATTCTGGCAAATTGCCCGATGATGCTGGATGTAATTAGCAGTGAAACGTCGTATTCAAAATTGTAAAGGTTGTGGATTCACTCTTCAACACACCGGTGGACTAAAGCAGTGAACTATTTGTCTTTTGTCAACGTGACAAATTTTTTACTGTTTGGCCGTGTCGGGTGGTGGAGGGTTACGACACATTTATAAATAACGCGATCTAACCCAAAAACCTTTATTATGAATAATATTGGTCGCGAAAGCCTACGTGTTAAACTGATATGCATATATATTCGTTCACGGTAATGTCATGAGAATTTGGCTACTTCTCAACATTGTCTTCACCTAAGTAAATGAACAAACACATTTCTACGTTGATAGAAGTGTCTGTCTTCCAATATTTCTATTTGGCATTGAACGATAACAAAATTAATCAAACTTGAGCGCCTGTCAAAATATTGCAAATGTATAACCTGTATAGCTGTACAATGTGGTGCCTAAAATAAATAATTTTGATTTGTATAAACACATTCACTCCAATTATTCATCATATCAAGGTAGGCCTCTCTGCCAACTCATCGCCACGCATGCTGATATGTCTCACACACACACACACACGTTGACTCCATCTGTGCACGCTCCACCGACCCCGCGCTAACTCTCCAACAGCAGCCACCCGACCTGGAGGAAGAACTCCCGGAGGGTGGAGGGCAGGCTGAGCAGCATGCTGCAGTGGCCTGATGTGCCGGACGTGAGCGCCAGGATCGACGGTTGCTGAGATGTGAGGACTCCCAGCTCCCCACACGCCACCCGCTCCACGTACGCCCGGTAGTGATCATACCTGCGGCAGCAGCAGCAGGCAGCAGCAGCAAGCAGCAGCAGCAAGCAGCAGCAGCAGCAAGCCAGCAGCAGCAAGTAGCCACAGCAAGCAGCAGCAGGCAGCAGCAAGCCAGCAGCAGCAAGCACCAGGCAGCAGCAGGCAGCAGCAAGCACCAGGCAGCAGCAGGCAGCAGCAAGCAGCAGTGATGGGTAGCAAGCAGCAGCAACCGGCAGTAGCAGGCAGCAACAAACAGCAGCATCAGACGGCAGAAGGTAGCAACAAGCAGCAGCAGGCAGCAGCAAGCAGTAGACAGCAGCAGGTAACAGCAGGCACCATCAGACAGCGCCAGCCAGCAACAGCCAGCAGGCACCATCAGACAGCGCCAGCCAGCAACAGCCAGCAGGCACCATCAGACAGCGCCAGCCAGCAACAGCCAGCAGGCACCATCAGACAGCGCCAGCCAGCAACAGCCAGCAGGCACCATCAGACAGCGCCAGCCAGCAACAGCCAGCAGGCAGCAGCAGGCAGCAGCAAGCAGTAGTGGCAGGCAGCAAGCAACAGCAGCAGGCAGCAGTAGCAGCAGGCAGCAGTAGCAAGGTGATTGCCCAGCATGTAATTATTCATATATTCATCATCATCAAGACGATGCACAACAATCCGTTAGCAATGTACTTTGTTAGGCGTGTAACGATGTGTCGATGCATTGAATGAAATTTATCATTGTGGTCGTGATACACAGACTGACACGTTTGTGTGGGAATCAATGACAGTATTTATGCAAATTACTGGATATTATAATATGATTATGTTGCATTCAGGATCAAATGTAGTTCATATCACAAAAAAGTTCAGAAAGTGCAATGTTGAATGTGCTTACTAAGTAGCTATTATTAACTGTTACATATAAGAACATTCAAAAGTATGAAAATGTAATCATCTAGGTACACTTTGCAGACTCACAGATTTCAGGGGGGTCCTGGTTTTAGGATGTTGGCCAATTCCTATTTGTGCCTTTCTGCAAGTGGTTTGACAACTGGAATGTGTGAAGAAAACCCACACTATATGAGAGAATAATCCTCAATAACTAAAGAGATGGGTTAGCAACCAACCTACCTGTCCTGTGAGATGGATAAGTCAAAATAGAGGTGGATCAGATTCATAAAACAAATGCTGAAAACAAACATGGCCAGGAATGGAATACGGTTCACAAAGTCGTGACATAGTAGTTATCAGGCTGCGCTATGAAACATGTCACCCAAGTTCGATTCCTAGCCACAGCTAACATCAGTGGCGAGTGATAGGCAAACTGGTTTAACCCTTCCCCCCCTCCCCCGTTCTTCACCAACCTGTACTGACTAGCATGGTGAAGTATGGTAAAAAAAATAACCCATGGGAGGCCTTCATCCACTGGTGGATGGAGAATAGCTGGAATTAATTATGTCCATAACTAAGATATTGCCACAGTATGGTTACCAATGAGTTTAGAATACCAAAAAAGCCAGATATCTCCTCCATAGAGATATAACTTGTTGAGGCGAAGTGTCGTTAGCAAGCACCTATGAAGACCAGCACCTACGAAGAACTGTGAACAAGGGGATGGTGCGGCCAGAAGTACGCAAGGCCCCCTTTATCTCCCCAGTGGTGAGTCGACCTAGCGGGTGTCCAGAAGTAATTCTCTTACCACAAGCCATTGATTTTTGCAGTGGTCAGTGATTGAACTCGAGCCGCCGGGTTCGCAGCATAGTGAGTTAGCCATTGTGCCACCCGTGTTCATCAGCTGAGGACCACATGACTCACTGTCCATAATAAAAGTGCTTGCAGTTGCGTTAGTCATGCCCATTACACAGGTAACACATTAATGGGAATAACAATCTGCAGTCCACCCGAATCATGAGGTGTTTGTTAACAGGGGGTGACTGTGAAACGCGTTGAGATAAATACTTAAAACAGCATATTACTTTCTGTACCCCAACCTTGGCCAATTTTTTAAGGAAAGTTTTTTTTTAGACTTGACAGATGATCTGGCTCTCTCTTCGTGGAATAACACACTTGATGGAGCATGTGACATTCTGTGCCCAAGGGGACAATTTTCAATTGGATTCTTTGCATGCACCGTGCACGTCGGGGCCATGCCCGCTAGCATCAGGTAGGCTGAATTAATGTGCACCTGCAAAGAGACACCGCTAATGAGTGCAAATTACTTGGGCGAAACGCTCACACGCTGCTCAAAAGTAGTTTCACAAGATGGGCGCAAAAAGGCGGGCGAGAAAAATGGGCATTTGAGTCATTTATTCAGCTGTCAATCAAGCAGAGGGGCAAGGCGGTGTAATTTCAACTGTGTCACTTGCGCATTTGGATGCTAGATTACAGCACATTGCCCCATCGCTTACACCGTAGTCGGCCGGGTGCCCACTGTGGGCCATTCGATCGGTGAGAGCAAAGACGAGAGTGGTTTGGAGGATAACAAGAGTTGAGGAAAAGTGTCAGGTTTGGGATCCGGGATGAGGCATTGTGCCAGGGGCTCTCTTCTCTGCGTGCGGGAACTTTCAAATGTGAAAGCTGCGACGCAGTATCATCGCGGAGGGCGCCTCTCTATGTTGCTGTGAAGAAGGGTCATTGTCTGAAACGTCACCTATTCAATATTTTTTTCCTTTTAAGGCCACAGCGTTATTATACGTATATATTTTTTTGCGTGACTCATTAAGAACATGCTTTGGGATAAGCATCTCCAAATAAACCGAGCAATTTCTTCGATTGCTAGAATTGAGCCTGTATTTTTAACCCACATGAACGTCCGTTAACAAGCACCGATTTGTTTTTTTGCAGCGTCCGCTGTATAATTTGTAACTTAGCTGAGTTTACACGTGCGGTTCAACTCGCACAGCATGGACAAAGACGAGCGAGGAGGCAAAATCAAATGCCCTTGATCGTTAGCTGCTCGAGAAAACAGCTGTGTTACTGGGGGTCAACAGCTGGAGTGACAGAGGCTTTCTGTTGTCTCAGTGACATGCCTTCCAGTGGCCAGAGCAGAGCAACCTCATTAAACCATCACGTGATATACACAGCCACGCACAAACTGTGGGCACAAGGGAATAAACAAAATTAAAGGTGACGCAATATTGCTTCCATAATTGCCACACAATTTAGATGATTGACCATGTCAATGTCAGACACTGAACATTGACCACGGTCCTATAACGCAAAATATGGTCAGCGTTCAAGAGCTGACCTTGAATGTCAGCAAGATATATATTTAATCCTATAATACACAATGAAGACATCAGCATTGTGTGTTGATGGATATACATCTATGGTGGTGGGATCAGGTTTGAGATTGCTGTTAAATGACACCTGGTTGGGGAATGTCTACTCATAGCCATAATCCAGTACAACTGCCCAGGAAGTTAAAGGACCTTTTGAATCAAATAGAATTATTAATTCATTTGACATTTTCACCATTATTATCGTACAAGGCTATCACAAAGGGGCTATGTTTCACATACACTGTCTGCCATAGCTTTCAGGTCAGAGGCGATGTTGCCATGTGTACTCCCAATTGAGTAATCTGCAGAAAATGTTTGAACTGAGCAAATGTAGACGACAACGCCAGCGCAAATGTCTTACTCTCTCACGTCACAGGAGCTTTAACGTTCACTGCAAAGCCACGCGGGGCGTATTTATGGTTAACGCACTCGCGACGTTAACCCGGTCGACTGTTAGGCTCGAACTCTGATCGTCTGGAACAAGCAGAACACACCCTTGCGCTGGGTCATGTTAACGCACACATATGTCCTTAGATTCAGAGTCATGGGAATAAACGGATGAGTGGCGAAGCAGCCAGAACCGCCATCAAGAATTGCCCAGGCTGTTGGGGCCTACATTGAGATGTCTGGCCACATTCACAACTGAGCGATTATCACAATCAGAATCTGTATTTGTACTGGAGGAATTCGATGAGCTATGAAGCTGTTTTTCACAGACGTCCAGTAGGGGGCGGGTAAGAATGTTACAACAACTAAAAATACAAAAAATAGCAAGTATAGGAAGGGTAAAGAAATCACTTAAAATATATCTTACCAGGTAAAGCCCACTGAAGTATTAACTTATTTTTCAAAAGCGACCTGGCCACAAATGATAGCTCAACAAAGTGGCTTATCGTGTGGATATTTATAACAGCAAAATAATCTCACTGCACGTTTCGAAATGGGAAAAAGTGGAGTCCCCATAGAAGTCCCCGTACAGGTGACAACCGATGGAGATTAACCCACTTGCTGTACTGTCATCTCTTGGAGATCCAGGGTAAGGCGACCTTGACGGCCATACCCTGTGATTCACCAACTCTTGGCTCCACAATACTGGGTTACAGGTGTGCGCCACTTCTGCCTACAATGTGTTATTCCCCTGGCAGCACAAATAATAATAATAATTCCATTTATATGGCGCTTTTCATCAAAAATCTCAAAGCGCTGTACAGGAAGCAGCAGCAGACACTCAGCATGAAAATAATCATATTATTAATACATTTTAAGAATCCATTTACTAAAGTAACTCAAAGCTAAATGAGCGGAAGCGTATACATAGGTTTGAAGACGCAAATAAAAAAAATGTCCACAGACTCTGAGATCCCTGATATCTCGTAGAAGAGGGTTCTACAGTCTGGGGGCTACATGGGGAAAAATCTCGGTCACCCATAGAACGAAGCCTCGGCCTGGCAGTGCAGAGAAGATCTGCATCCCCAGATCTTAGGGACCTTGAGGGGACGTGTGAGTGCAGCATGGCAATACAGTTTAGCGGTGCAACGGAACTAGGTATAAAAACAGCAGAAATTAATACCTTCAGGTCTGTTAAATATATTTGAGTCTATTGGCCAAAAAATATAACTTTTACTGAATATAAGACGATCATTTTCAAATTGACTTCAATTATTTGTTCGTTGAACCGAGGTAGTTTCAACCATTTTTTTCTTACAAATGCAACAAAGCCAATCAATTCAATACATACACATTGAGGGACATGCCATCACATATCTAAAAAAATAATACGTTTGCAGGGTTAGGATGCAAGCTTTAATGAACAGATTACCCATGGAGCAAGGAATTGCAAAGTCACCACCAGTGAAAGGAATATTGACAGGTCTGCATGGAGTATTCAAAATTTAATATGAGGTGTTTTCCTGTTAAGAGCTGATAAATGTCATTGACAGACAGTTGGCTCCAATCCTGTTTGTTTAGCTCTGCCAGATTCTCAATTATTAGCACTTGAAATGTCACATGCCCAGCATTTATTGACGGCTAAAAACACACACGGGCGCACGCGCGCACGAACACACACACCAAAACCCTCAAGAGATGACCGATTTCCCTGTTAATTTGTGAAAGGTGAGTTTTGCTGACCAAACTCTGTTATTTTCACTCAGCTATTTTCACTTACAAGGCTATTGTCCACAGATATGTCTCACCTGTTATTACCATTTGACAATCCAAAAAAATGCAACGCGCATCTGATTGTCTGGTAATAGTTATCAGATTTTGCACACAATTTGGATAAAAAGCATTTAATGTAGTTGCACCAAAGTTTTGGAACCACCTCGTGTCATCTCTTGGCATCTCCATTTTGCCACCTCTGTCCTCATTTCAATGGACTCGATTTACTAGATTGAAAACTCATTTCTTCAGAACTGCTTTTTGTGTTCAGTTTGTTGTCCTTCCCCCCGCACCTCCGATTAGCATGGCTGGTCTACGTACGGTGTGTAAGACGTTAAACATACATAGATTTAATAACCAAGAGTGGACTACATTTTTTTACCACTTTAATCAAATCGACAAGGAGCGTGACCAAGTGAAACCCACTGACTAAGACTCGAATTAAAATGCAATTCTCCAGGTTGTTGATGAAGGCCACGCATAAAATATATATTTCTAAATGCGAACAAAGAGCGGCGCGCACCTGGTGAGCGGGTGTCTCTCCCTCAGCTCCCGACGGCTGCGTACGGTGTCGAGGCCGTGCTGACGCCCGTACGCCGTGTCACCGTTCCGCTGCAGCCGAGCGAGCAGCGTCTCCTCCTGCGCCGTGGCCACGTCCATGGTGTCCACCTCCAACTTCTTGCGCTGCCACCTCCCCAGCCTGTGGGTGCACGTGCGCCGCGGCACAGGCAATTGTCCGTCCGTGTGTTCGTCCGCTCAGTCACTCCTGCGGCGGTGTGCCGATAATCCAGCACTTTGGAAGCAAGGGTTGGTAGATCGTGCAATCTTTCGAAACCCCCTCGAGGTCGTCATCTCCCGGCTCGCCAGGGTGTGGCAGTACCACCACAAGCAAATTCACTTCCATCTGTACTCCACAAGTACGGAGATTGAGTGGCGAGCGGTTACCCGCCTCGGTTTGGGGGGCCCAGGAGAGCCGTTAGTGTGGGCCACCATATCTGGGATATGCCGCTAATCCGACTAAACTTGGGCGCGACAAATGGGAGTTTCCTTTCTGGGGGTGTGAGATGCCCTTTCTGGGGGTGTGAGATGCCCTTTCTGGGGTGCGAGATGCCCTTTCTGGGGGTGCGAGATGCCCTTTCTGGGGTGCGAGATGCCCTTTCTGGGGATGCGAGACATGGCCACATTTGTTTCGAAGGTAAATAATCGAAAATACTAATTAAGCATGGGCACGTAAGTACAACTACTTTGACTCATCAAACCGTGTGTATTTATTAACGTTCTACTTTTTTAAACGATTGAGAAGCATAGGGCTCTGAGGCTGCAGGAAAAGGTTTAGAACCACACAGCTCTACAGAATATTTTTTTTGCCTACAATTCCAAGCAGGCCACACATCTTTGAAAGGGTTCAGAGTACCCACACTTTACCTCGTCACACGTGACCCGCCAACTGACTGTGGTGCAACCCATTTATACTGCTTTGTGGACATTGGATATAATAAACTTGCCCTATTGTTGCAACTGCCACATCAGCAGCAGAACGATCTGGCCACCGCTGTTGTCTGAGTCCAGTGTACTAACCAATATGCCACAACAGTATCCCCGTACTACATATATACCATCTTAATTGTGTCTGTGTTTATATATTATTAAGGGAGCTGTGCCGCAGCTTGGTACGTGGCAGACTGCATGACCAACCCATAGCACCAGCGAAAGCTAACATATATCGAGATGTAACAATACTTCTTATGGGCACTCCCCTAAGTCCACTCAGCCTTAAATTACGACCTGCTGTGGTGTGTAAAGATTAACACTCGGGTTGGACAAACATGGCCATGCTATTGACCACACAATCCCCTTGCCAGCCTTATTATGTACATGCTGGCAGCACTTGCCTCAATATTCTATACATCTATATGGATAATGTTTGTTTATGTAAATATGATCATTTTATAGTTAAACGTTTAAGCTGATGATCACATTTTCAAGAATTACGATCTTCTCTGTGTTTAGCAGATTCATGTAATTCTGTTTTGCATATTGTAAAATAATTGCAACACCATGTAGACAAGCACATACATTTTTTGTACAAAATTGAACAGAAATTATAGTTAAACGTTTCGTGGTCACCTATTTTATGTTGCTAAAAACTTAGTATTTTCTTCTGTAAAACATATCACTAAATATCTTCCCGACTACATGATGCACGTCACACTGTCTGTGTGCGGCGTCTTGAGGTGCAGTTGTATTTATATTTAGACTCTTTGTACAATGGTGTTCAGGGCAGGATGCTGGTAGGCACGTACTCTGCCGAATGGGATTTCGGTATCTCAAATGCAAGGGTGATTATGGTGACATTTTACATTTCACATGTAATCATCCCCCTGTGATGTAGGCTGAATGCCAAGGACTAGAAAAGAAGACGGATCTTGCTTGAACCAACGTTCTACGGTTGAAAAGGGTCATCTTTTGGAAGAAAAAAAATACAATCATGGCATCTGTATAGTGTACCGGGCGATACAGTCTCTAGGCCCACAGTTTTGTTTCCACAAAGGCGTTCACTTGCCAAGGGCCTCTCTCATATTAAAGTTGCATGAACATTAAGAGTTATTTGCATTTGTTATTGCCTTTAAGCTTGAGTGTTGCTCACCATGTAGGATGTGTTTACTTAGAGAATACGGGACCGGTGTGTTCTGTGGGTACCAAGAAAATAGAGGTCACTTTCCATGTGAGAGCACTGTGCCAGCACCACTAAGAGCTGGGTTCGAATACAGGTTTTAGCCACCAGTAGTTAAACATATTTCTCAACTGCGGCGAGTTGATGGTCTCAGGCCAGTTAGCAATTACGGTGCAAACAAAAAAAACATTACATTAAATGTGGTGATTCACTGCATTTAGATTATTCGAGCTCGGAGAATAAAACAGTTTGTGAAACGCGTGAGAACCACTTTGCAGGGCATGTGAAGTGCCCTTATTGGCCTACAAAAGTGGCTTCAGAAGAAGTTGTTTTGACATCTTCCAGGTCACAATACCAGATGCGAGGGTTCCGAATGGAAATGTCTCCATCTCACGTGAAGGTGATAACAGCACCACTCCTTGTGTATATTCTGCATGACTAATAAGAGCCGTAGGTGATTATGCTGAGGCTAAAAAGAGGTGTTTTCCTCGATTATCATGTTGTTTGCATCCTTGACACACTTATTTCCCTCATCAGTCACAGATGTTGCTTGAATTTGTTTGCCTTGAGCTTCTGCAACATTTTCCATATCATATAGAGAGCTATAGCTGCTCATAAAAAAACAACCTATCAGGCACAAATGGCATTGGAATATAAGGATGGCTAACATTGTACCGATGAGTCCTAACAGGAATGTATTATTTGGTGGTGCCGCATTGGCCCTGGTGTGCAAGCACACTTAACACATTCGTCAATAAGTGGCTTTTAACAAAAATATATATAGATACGTATAATCGGCTGGTATTCGTCCCGAGCAATGGCTCTTCTTCACAGCACATGAACAGAGGGGTCATAGAGATAGCGTTAATGAGAGTTGGAGACTGTGCCTAACGCCATGGGGCCTGGTGAGAATTAATTTTTTTAATGTTTTCTGATGACCAAGTTTTTTTTTTTAATAGGCATATTAATAGTTAACTGATAGGAGCTGTGGTGTTTAGTGCAGTCTCCAACCCTTGTTAACTCCATGCCTCAGGCCTCTCTATTTACGTGCTATGAAGAAGGGATCATTGTCCAAGACATTGAAGATTATATATATAAAGGCAGTGTGATTGATGTATCTGTCGATTCAAAAAAACGCATTCAATTCGGTCATTGCAGAATTCACTTGATTACATACCTGTCAATTCGTACGGCGTACCCGTATTCTTTCACAGGGAAACTGAGTTCAGGTCCATACGGTGTACAGCTGTTTCAATACAGGCAAAACATGTTTTTGTCTGTTTGTTTGTGTTTCTCCCTTGTGATGGGACTTTGTAGGATGAACGTTGAAATGTATAAGGGCACGGGCTGACCAATAAGGTCTGAATTGATATGTAATAAGGTAGGCACTGACAAGGGGTTGACAGGTATGTGATTAGCGATTTAAAAATGCTGTCTTATTAATGAATGTGTTGCTCAGAAGAACAAAAAACCTCAATGAGCAAGAAGCCATTATTTGGGTTGTGTAGTTGACCTATCACTTCCTTAGAATAAAACATACTCTTTTGAGCCTAGTGGTCAGCATGGGTTATGTCCAAGAAACACGTCCAGAGGTCGTGTGGGGACACGGCCAAGATTGAATGCAGGGGTCACGCAATGGACAAGGGACTACGCCCAGAGGAAATGAATTCAAGAAAGGTGCGAAAAAGGTGGTAGGGGATTGGAGGGAAAAACTCAAAAGATAAAGATTGGTGGGAAAGAGGAGGAGAGAAAGACAGGGGAAATACTGTATGTATGTTGCACTTCTTTCACAACGTACATAGCCAACCGTGCTAATCGGAGGTGTGGAGGAATCCGATACAAGGAGGTGTGAGACAAAGGCTCGGGGCTCCGGGGAAGAAATGCTGCAACTGTTCGTCTTGGTGCTGAGCGGAACAATAAACCGTTCCGTTTCCAGGATGAACCACGTGGACTCCCTTTCACAATGCACGAATTGTCATCTAGATATAAATGGAATGCTGGGATTTCCTCATTTCCAGGTTTGTATTGTGGTCTAACACTTTCTGTGCGTGTATTAGTTTGCGCACCTCCGATGAGCGAGGTTAGCTACGTACGGCGCGAAAGAAGTTCAAAGTCCTTCTGTACATTTTCACTGAATTTAGCCTGACAGTGGGAAACATTGCTCTCTCCTCCGCACCAAGTGACATTCAGTACGGCTGGTATGTTTTAAACAAGGGACTTATTCAGCCTCAGGTCAGGACATTTTTAAAACACGTATCTCGTCAACAACTCCCTGAAAAGGTGGAATTCTACAAGAGACAATTATGATTAAATGTCAGGTTTTTTTGTGCTAACTCAGTTCTTAAGGCTGCAGCCCAACACATTACTTATTTACATGGTGTACATACTGGCCCATCTATCTATTCATAAGTTGTACTTTCTACACGAGATATGAGAATTAACAAAACATGAGGCTACAAAGGCACCCATTAAAATGCAATTGTTTTGTTTGTTTTTCCAGCACCAATCAATTAAATCAATGTGTTCGACTGTTCAGTTGCTCCACAGGAGAAGAAAAGATGAGAACACATAATTAGTTACAGCAAAAGAATGCAATCGTGCTAAAGATCAATATAAAACATGAGACAACATTCACCCAGGGAAAAAATAACTCTGGATCTCAGGGTTTGTCGTTAAGACTGCAAAACCTCTGGACCCCCTGACGTGTGGAAGGCCACGTGCTAATTTGTAGTCTCGGCACAGCACAGGCAAACGCGTCACCACCTCGAGGTGCACAAGAGCAGGGATTCAATGAGTTTGTGAATATTCACAGGTTGGAACGTTCCAGCACTTTGCACGTTTACCAGTGAAATGCAAAACAACTCTGCAACATGTTATTCATAGAGGTTGGTTGACCATACTTCGCCATACTGCTCACTGCAGGTTGATGAAATTGGGGAGGGGGGGGAGTGCCCAGGAATTATTTGGATAATACTTTCTGCTGATGTTCACAATGGCCAGGAATTAGACAGTGTGCGAACCACTCTGCCACCATTACTACTTTCCAGTCCCCTTCCTAGCATAGGAGGTTTGAGCCCCCCCCCCAACCACGTGCTGAATCCTCACCCACCCCCCTTGTAAATTCTCAAGTAAAAAAAACAAATAGAGTTAAGCAATGAGAATCGCAGCCTCTTCGAATACACACAGGAAGTGAGAGCTAGAGCATGGGGGGGGGGGGGGGGGGTGACAGACAAAGGCAGCTAATATAATTATTAATTAGATTTATCAATTACATGCGTTCTAAGTTTTTGTTGTTGTGTGCAACTCAACCGCCCCATCCCAGTTGATGTGGAGGATGAGTCCCAACTGCACCATCCTCCGCCCCCATCCCAGTTACGGAGGCGCGGAGCGGGTCACGCCGCACTGACCTGTGCATGACGGCGTAGCAGAAGTACTGTCCCAAGAGACTGCCCAGCGTGTGGCTCTCGGACACCGTGCGCTGCCTGATGTCCCACGCCAAGGCGAAGGCGCACGCCAGGCCGGCGCTGCAGATCGTGGCGACGCCGATGCCGAGGAAGGAGCCCATCGCTCCTGCTGCTCCTGCTGCTCTCCTAGGCTCGCGTTACTACCAGGAGGACACCGTCCGGCTGCAAGGGGACACACTGGACACGGCAGCCACAGAACGCAGACGCTGCTGAAGACTCGCACGGAGGATCTCGTTGAAGGATAGTATTTACGGGGGATCCTGCCGTGGTGTGATGGTTGGCGCACTCAACTTGCAAGCCAGATGTCTTAAATAACCCTGCCTCTTTCCACCCGGCTGTATAAATGGGTACATCACAGTTAATTGATAGGCAGTCTCGCGTTTAGTGGGGTAAAGAGTGGATAGTCTCATCTCTTCCGAGGCATCTGACCAACCAACGTGGAAGAGTAGCCCAAAATACACTCTAGAGCTTGCTCTAGTGGAGCAGCTTCTGCCAGCAGTGCAAACAAACATCGATCTCATGGTGTTCCCCATGCTAAGCTTGGTCTACGCCTGCCAAGCGAAGAGCTGTGAAGTGCCTATTGCTGGTTAGACAAAGGCAAAAGGATTCATGCAACATGGACTATTTGTAAACCGAACGAACCGGTCACCTCTGGATTGCAAGTCCAGTCTGTTAACAATTACACCACAGCAGCATCCCCTTTTCCAAAATTCCGAGTCTAACGTGATACAAGCTCTGTTATCAGTGCAAGCCAGAGCGGCTGATGGGAGTAGCGCCAGAGATGGGTTTCACAAGATAATGAGAACGATGACACAGGCAGGGAGCAAGGAGCTTAAACGAACGCTGCAATTAAATGGAAATTAATTTAAACAAATGAGACGAGCTTTTAAATGTTTTAATACGTATCATGTCCATCCACTAATCGGCATCAACTCCGAGTTCGGACGTCTATGATGAAGGTATGCCGACACATCCTCTCGGCACAAACCACCGTGATGTTCTCCCTGCTCAGCCGGGGTCACTCCATGATGTGATCCCACCACACGTCCCATCACCTTCGTCTCCTACCGTCGTTGATTTTTTTTTTGTTTAGTTTAAGCGGTGAAATCAATTTTACAGCGACTCGCTGGAACGCGTTTCGATTGGTGGGCCTGATTTAGTGGTACGCATTCCACATTCCTATGGAAGGGAAAGACACTTCACTTGACAAAAAGGTGCACACGGTACCTATAGTATCGACCCCCTAGACAGGCGCAAGAAACCCTGAGATTTAAACTTGCAATCCAGAATCCAACTTCAAGCTGTAGTAGCTGGGCAAGCTACTCCCTCTTATCAACTATCATTAGGGGCCGTCCATAAATGACGTCACGCGATTTTCTGACCCCCCCCCCCCCCGTCTTCACACGGCGTCACAAAATTTCAGACCCCCCCCCTCAAATATGACGTCACAAAGCTCTGCCCCCACCCCCAAACCATATTTCCATTTTGAAAATAAAACATGCTTCAAATCACTTTAAACTAAAACTATTGTCATTTAAGTACGTATTTAATGTGGCGCTGCACTCTGATGTTGTAGGAGAAAACATGAATTAAAAAGGCGTTGGAAAGCTGATATTTTGCATGAAATTCACTTGAAAATATTCAACGTCTAACTAAAACTGCAGATGAATATTATAGTGAAATTCTCTTATAATTATAAAATATTAAAATTATAACGATTAAAAAAATACTTGAAACTTTGTAGAACGAAGCAAAATGGAGTACAATTATAACAAAAATATATTCATTCCACAGAATGAAAAGCCCTTGGTAGAATCATTAGAATCAAAATGTTTAATAACAATCATTAAGAAAATGTCCAAAATGTATGCTTCTCCATTCTCCCATGGAGAAGCAAAATGCTCCTTCATGGAATAAATAAAAGGTGAACTTAGTAAATTTTAATAATCAAATAGTTAATAATGAAAATTCATAAAAATTAGAGTTATAACAATTCCATTTAATTAATATTTATTTAAAGTTGCGCATTTTGATGTGACGTCACATTTCTCAAACCTCCCCCCCCCCTCGTCACACATCGTCACAAATGTCTGACCCCCCCTCCCCCCCCAGGTGCGTGAAGTCATTTATGAACGGCCCCTTACTGGAATATAACTTCAAAGAAATAACCTATCCTAATCGCTGTTGGATCATGCTATCAATGTTATAGAAGATAACCAACCATTATTCTTTTTTTTATTAATAGCTACTGTTCATAACATAATGTGCACATATCAGCATGACAGGTGGCTGGGCGGTCAAGCAAGTGACCGCCAATTGGAAGGTTGTGAGTTCAGGTCCTGGAACCGAGTAAGGCTCCAGCCCATCATCTCTACTCTGGGTGTCGATGTGGCGAAGTCACAGCAGTGGTTGGCCTATGGATAGACTAACACCCGCCATGGGAACGTGGAATTTCCGCCACTCGTTCAGGGCTGCAAACCAGGAGATGTTGGACCGCATCGATCCTCAACTTAGTGCAGTGAAGTCAAGTCAAGTGAGCGCAGTGTTTATTAAAGTTCAATCTTGATTTGAAGCTTTAGTGACTACAGTGCACAACCAAGGTCGGACGCATTCCCAATGCTTCATTCCCAATGCGGGCATTCGCTAAGTGGAACCGAAACGAAAACAAACGACGCGAATTTTACGACCACCGACAAATTTAAGGAAGTCGCCCCCGCGATTATAATTAAAACGCTCGCGAGTCACACTTTTAATAGCTCGAACGAAGGTCACACAATCAATGATCGATTACGCCCGCACCCCGAGTAACAACTTAACTCATCGTCATCATCATCACCACCACTACCACCGACTTCTGACGGATCCAACAGCGCCGCTCTCATCAACGCATTCGCAGCGGTCACTGCGGATTTGGAGTTTCCAGCAGCACTGTGCGACCTCCGAATACAAACTGCGGCTTCACCATCTGCCTAACCCTCCGTGCACAGTGCGCTGGCGTGCTGCGATGTAGGCAGTACGACTAGCGTCACAATGTGACAACAATGTGACAACAATGACATGCAAACTCTGGGCTCTTATGACACGCGGCTACTCACGTGCCCTACGATACAACACACGAGCACATCTCACGTATTATACGGTATCGAACACTCACACACGAGTACATCTCACGTACTATACGGTATCGAACACTCACACACGAGTACATCTCACGTACTATACGGTATCGAACACTCACACACGAGTACATCTCACGTACTATACGGTATCGAACACACACACACACCTATGTGCGCTTACATTGTAACGAGGACACTGTACTCTGTTGTTATTACCACGATTTCCAAGCCCTTCCGTGTTTGTTATGCAACGCGGCCCACGTGTTCCCCTTCGTCAGCTGGTGGGGGGGGGGGCGTCAGCTGTTCGCGAGTGGTGACGTCGACACTGCCGGGCAGCCGCATGCCATGCGCGTGCTGGTGTTGGTGTAGTGGCTAGGGGGGGTTCAGCTGGTGGTGGTGGTGTAGTGGCTAGGGGGGGGGGGGGTTCAGCTGGTGGTGTTGGTGGGGGGGGTTCAGCTGGTGGTGTTGGTGGTGGTGTAGTGGCCGGGGGGGGGGTTCAGCTGGTGGTGTTGGTGTAGTGGCTAGGGGGGGTTCAGCTGGTGGTGTTGGTGGGGGGGGGTTCAGCTGGTGGTGTTGGTGGTGGTGTAGTGGCTAGGGGGGGGGGGGTTCAGCTGGTGGTGGTGTAGTGGCTAGGGGGGGGTTCAGCTGGTGGTGTAGTGACTGGGGGGGGTTCAGCTGGTGGTGGTGGTGTAGTGGCTAGGGGGGGGGGGGGGGTTCAGCTGGTGGTGTTGGTGGGGGGGGGTTCAGCTGGTGGTGTTGGTGGTGGTGTAGTGGCTAAGGGGGGTTCAGCTGGTGGTGCATCTACCGGTCATCTTAGTCGGCCAACCTACGGCACCTGCTGAGTCTGTCCCGAGACCTCCTGTCAGCGAGCTTTTCGACACTTCACGTGATAGCCTCAAGGTGCACCTAGCCTGGCACAGGCGCCGTGGTGGCGAATTGCGGGTATTGGTATTGATATTGGTGCGTCTCTGTGTATGTGTGGGGGATAGCGGTAGTGTAGCGGTTAGCGCGCCTCGCTACCAACCCGGCAACCCGGGTTCGATTTCCGCTCCCATCAACCAACACCAATGATGATTATCTGAACCGGTTCTGAACCTCCCCCTAGGTTGACTTAGCCTCAAACGAGTACCTGGTGCGGTGTGTAAAAATCACCACCAGGGAGACAAAGGCGGCCGCGCGTGGTGCTGGCCACACACCCCCTCGTGTGCTGTGCCGGCCTTCATAGGTGCTACTCACTAACAACACTTGCCCCTACAGTCTGTTTAGGCTATACGGGGAATCTTTGTCTTTGTTTCCTCCCTTTGTGTGCACAGCACTGTACGCCGCTTTCTACATCCTGAAACACAAAGGAACATAATTACATCTCGGACTTCGCCAAGTTAAATGTGGTACGTTGAGTGAACGTTGGGGGACGGTTTGTTCAGCATTGTGTGAACGTTGGTTCAACGTTCGATGAACGTTGGGGGAAGGTTTGTTAAACTTTGTGCGAATATTGGTTCAATGTTGAGTGAACGTTGGGTGAAGGTTGGTTCAACGTTGGGTTAATGTTCTGCCCCACGGCAGATATGGGGGAGTGTTTACACAGGAACTTCCTGATAATATGGTGTTGAGTTTGGTCACGTGACCAGGAAGTTACGAGTTAAGGGTCTCTAAGCCACGAGGCTTCTGTGGATGTGTAGACTTTGACTTTAACATAGCCATTTCTGTGACCAGTCACAAGCTAATCACTCAGCTATTTCAATGCTAAATTCTCCTGTTTGATTTGTACTAGGTTCCTCTGTGGATGTGTAGGCTTTGACTTTAACATAACCATTTCCGTGACCAGTCACAAGCTAATCACTCAGCTATTTCAATGCTAAATTCTCCTGTTTGATTTGTACTAGGTGCCTCTGTGGATGTGTAGGCTTTGACTTTAACATAGCCATTTCTGTGACCAGTCACAAGCTAATCACTCAGCTATTTCAATGCTAAATTCTCCTGTTTGATTTGTTCTAGGTGCCTCTGTGGATGTGTAGGCTTTGACTTTAACATAGCCATTTCTGTGACCAGTCACAAGCTAATCACTCAGCTATTTCAATGCTAAATTCTCCTGTTTGATTTGTTCTAGGTGCCTCTGTGGATGTGTAGGCTTTGACTTTAACATAGTCTGTGACCAGTCACAAGCTAATCACTCAGCTATTTCAATGCTAAATTTTCCTGTTTGATTTGTACTAGGTGCCTCTGTGGATGTGTAGGCTTTGACTTTAACATAGCCATTTCTGTGACCAGTCACAAGCTAATCACTCAGCTATTTCAATGCTAAATTTTCCTGTTTGATTTGTACTAGGTACCTCTGTGGATGTGTAGGCTTTGACTTTAACATAGCCATTTCTGTGACCAGTCACAAGCTAATCACTCAGCTATTTCAATGCTAAATTTTCCTGTTTGATTTGTACTAGGTACCTCTGTGGATGTGTAGGCTTTGACTTTAACATAGCCATTTCTGTGACCAGTCACAAGCTAATCACTCAGCTATTTCAATACAAAATTTTCCTGTTTGATTTGTACTAGGTGCCTCTGTGGATGTGTAGGCTTTGACTTTAACATAGCCATTTCTGTGACCAGTCACAAGCTAATCCCTCAGCTATTTCAATGCTAAATTCTCCTGTTTGGTATGTAAACCCCTTTATCAAGGTGCCTCACTTCTCTAAACCAGCTTAAAAGACGCTACGAATCTTAACAACGTTCATTGAAGCTCTGTCGTCCCGACAGGTTTGTTCCTTTCACCTGAAGAAGGCCACTTGTGTTGTGGCCGAAACGTCGTGAGAATTGTATTGTTATTTTATTTTTATTATTTTATTCTCATTCTACGTGACTTTACCGAAAGAACCAAAGAAGATGACCCCACCCTCGTCACGGGGTCACCCTTAATAACTCTTTGGGTGGCTCCTCCCCCCAGGTCGGCCCCGCCCACTTTCCCGAAAGTGTTTTCTGAAAGCTCCTTATGTAACCCCTCACGTTACGTCATCCTTGGCCCCGCGTAACTCTCGACCAACTCACACTTCCTTATGCTCGCCCCTCATTGGCTCCTCACAATACTCTACACATGTGCTGTACATGTCCACAGTATGTGCACATCGATACGTTTGAAGTCTAAATAAACTACACCTGATATATTCCATCAAATTAACGGGCAGTTATAATTGGGGCGCTACTTCAAAGTGAATGCATTAATCACAGCGCACGTGCCAATGATGTCCATTAAAGAGAAATAACCGATTCCATTTTGTAAAAAAAAATTGCAATTCAATCTTTAATAAAAGCAATGCTGTGTTTTATATTCCACTTCCGAATGGAAATCAATACAAATGCTACTGACCTTAGCCACCTCCCACCATGGTCGTCATGGAGGTTGTTTGACCATAATACCTCACCACCCTGGTCAATGTCGCTTGATGTAAGGGTGCCAATACCAGTTCAGATATCGCTTGTTACTTGTGTGAGCAATGATCGGGAATCCAACTCAGGAAGCCAGCGCACTAACCGCAAGCATCACCACACATCCATTAAATTTGGCCAGTGTGATAAAAATATTGTATGCTATTTAAAATATATTTGGGACATTATTTGACCGTAAATACAATTTACTTGACCAATAATTATTGACAGATGTATATATCTCTAGGCGGGTGGAGAAATGTCCCTTTATGTTAGTCACATGCAGTATATATTTATACAATACTCATGCTACAAACTGTATAGAAGCTATAACTTTGTATTATGATGCTGTGTAAACCCTTTATATGCAATCAATGTCAATTATTGATGAGGAACATTATGTGTATGTGTGATGTCTTATTGCCACTTCTCTCTGATATAGTACTGTTATTTTCAATATTGATTCACCGATATATTGTTCCTACACTTAAGATGTTAGCCAGGAAAGAAATCCACTTTAAACCATTATTTATTTATAATATTTAGTGAATGTCATGTGAACATGAAAGTTAATAAAGAACTTTCCATTGGAACACCTTGGGTTTAAATTCCCACCAGATATATCATGTTGACGAGTGGTGATATAGCATCCCAGAAATTGCCATGATAAATGGTGCATATCAATACGTTTGGTATTTTTATTACTGATTAAAACAAGTGGGTGTAATGAACCATACAAATACATTCCATCTGCTTTCCGCAGTGGACGTTAAAGATCTTGTGACGTCCTCGGCAAGAGTAGGCCATTGTGGGCCGGCGTCATGGTGCCGAATTTGAAAAATTACCCGCAAAAAAATACTCAATAGGAAAACTCTCTATATAGGTAGCAATCATTGCCCCCTCATGCAAACAAAACTTGGCAGGACTCTCTTGAAAAGGATACGTGAGACTCAAAGAAGTTGCCTTGGGTAAACAAGCACAATGATGATAATATTCCAGATAAAAACCCTTCTGTTTGTTCCCTTGCACTACTCGATTTTGGAATTCCCTTCAATCGTCTCTGTTCCCAATCTAGTATAACCTTGCTTAAGACGTGTATTAAATCGTATTTATTACCACTCTGATACTATTGTGTGCTGTTTGGGCACTTGACGTTTTGGGTCTTTGGCCCTGTGATGAGAAACTGTTTAAAACGTAAATTCATCATAATATAATTGTCTAAAAAAAAAGTACAAAATATAATTTTGTAATTTGTATTGAAAATGAATATCAACAACGGTTGAAATGTACAATTATACAATATCTCAGCGAGCTCTTACCTGTTTAAATAAAAGGACCTCAGCCTACTGCAGCATATGCGTTTATCCCTGATGCTGCATTATTTTCACGTGACCTTGCAGGTCAAATGACTGGAGGGTTGAAAAGTTTGGAATGAGGTTTGTGCCAAGCCATGTCGTTTTGTGGTAAATGAAGGTCATCAAGAACCCATTGCGTCATCCTTTTCAGATACTCTGGCTGACAATGAAAGCAAAAATGTGGTTGTATCTGCTTTTTCACATCTACTGTGCCCATACATGGTGTGGATTAGTTTTACTTGAACGTAAGAATCCACCCTAACAGAACTCAACGAATAATTCCATGTTCAGCATTATAACACAAACAGATTCATACAATTTAAAAAGATAAAAAAGTATTAAAGTGATAACAAAAAATGGGGGAATGACTTTATAGTGAAGATATGCTCTTGCCTTCTCTTCACCAACACATATAGCATGCATACATGCTAAAATAGCAAGCTCGTAATTTATTCTTTGAAAAGTGACTTAAAAATAGAGCTGGTACCATTCGTCGAGTAAGTCGATTGCTCGATTA